TCTCTCTCTCTCTCACACACACACACACACACACACTTTCATAAAGAACCATATTTTTAACACTTAGACTTTATTCAAGTGTTAAATAAAATTCTAAGAATTTCCTTCAAAGTAACCAAATGGGTGGCAAATTCCTAATAATCATTATCATAGGGGGAGGGGGCTAAGGACGGCTAGTCACAGAATGAGACACTGAAAATATTCAACATGTAAAACTTTAGGTTTTAAAGTGGACACGCTGCCCAGGGAGCCCCTGCAGGCCTGGACCGCCAAACCAGGCCCTGAAGTCACCTTTAAACAAGCACACCAACAAACTAAATTAATCAAGTAAAGAATGTCATCCAAAATTTTGGTCTTTAAAAAAAAAAAAATTATTACTGAAGCCAAAGGGTGGATGGTCACTGAAGTGTCGATGAGAAGTTTGGGGGGCAGTGCAGGGAGTCTAAGTCAATGGGAATGAACCAACTACCGCCCACCGCCGAAAGAAGACAAAATGTTGCCACAATGGGAAGACTGTAGCGGCCATCAACAATGATACTTATAGAAATTGTTAAACGGGAGTATGTTTTCCATGTCTCTTTCTTTGTAAATGATATATACTAGTTTCTATATGTAAACAAAAATCAGAAGCAGTAAAATGTCTTAATAGTTCTTGATAGAGAAGGTCAACATGGCTTGCTAAAACCCACCTTTGTCAAAATCAATTGCAAACCCAAAAGGCCCAAGGATTCAGGCCCACTGGGGAAAGGGCACAATTACTGGGCCAGGTGCAGGGCAAGCCCTCATGCAAACCAGGCAGCTCACTCAACATGGGCTGCAAATGGTACAGCAGGTTATTTCTAAACTCTCGGCAGGTTTCTTTTCTGCAATTAGTGTAATGGGGGTAAGCGCTTTTCATGTTTCTTTTAAGAAAATTGAAATCCGATTGTACCCCTGCTAGTGGAGCTGATTATTTCAAGGGCCATTCGCTTTTGCACCCAGAATAAAAAGGTACACCGAGGTTCTTGCCTGAGTTTGTGCATAGCCATCTTACCACCTCTGCAGACCAGTTTCTGAACTGCCAGGAGTGCATTCTAAACGGCAGAACTCTTCGGGCTAGGTCAAAGACTGACGGAATGCTTTCCCATAAATACTGCATGCTTAAATCTTTAAAGAAAAAAACAACAACAAACAAACAAACGAACCCCCAAGCTTCCGAGGTTTGTAACAAGGCAAATCAGTCTGTGGGAATACTCCTCACTGTGATCACATCACTCCGACTTCACTTGCAGTATCACCACTAGCAACAAACTAGCAGAGGCAGCCACACAAAGGCAGTTAAGGACCACATTCCACCCCAACTCTCTCCAGTCATTTTTGATGTTCAGCTCTCCGGGGCACACAGGCTAAGGTGTGGGCTGGGAGGGGAGCAGCTTCTTTGTGTTCCCAGGGTGGCGCAGGAAGGTGAGGCCAGCTCTGCCCAGAGCTCAGTCGCACCAGCACCTACCTTGAGGATGTCCCCCCGTTTGAAGCTCAGCTCGTCATCTGCAGTAGCTTTGAAGTCATATTTGGCGATGGCTTCCATTCTGAGTGTTGATCAGAGCTCCGCGGCCCGAGGCAGGGGGAAGGGAGTCTTCCCTGCTGAAGCAACCGGGCACTGGGCACGCTGCCTCGCCTCTCTCCTGGGACGTGCTCCTGCGCTCGGAGACGCACGATGCCACCCTGGAGCAGAAGAGGGACCATTAAGAGAAGGGGCCAGGATTGAAAGCAGCCCCGCCCTGCCGATCGGCCTGCTGTCCCAGCCCCCACGCCCCCCGGCTCCCTGGGCTCGGCCTCCTCCCTCCCTTCCAGGCAGAAGCCCGGTCGCCTTCTTCCTCTTTCCAGCCTCAGCCCCAGGCGACTGACAGGCCCGGCGGCCAATGGCGGTGGCCGCGGGAGCGCTCCCAGCACTCACTTCCTCTTCCTCCTCGCGGCGGGCGCGCAGCAGCGCCCGGTCCGGGGCAGTCGCCGCCGCTCCTCCCAGCCCCGCGCCGCGCCGCCCTGCTCCCGGGACGGCACCCCTGGCTTCGCCCCGCCACCCTCCAGCCTTTCGGCTCCAGGAGAAGGTGGGGGCGGCGGCGTCCGCCCACAGGCAAGAGCAAGCAACGCGGGCTTCGGTCCCGAGCCACTTTCCTTAGAAACTACCCCGCGGCGTCTCACGCTCCTTTCCACCCTCTGCTCGCCTGCGTCCACTTCCAGCCGCTGGTCAGCACGCGGTGGGGGCCGGGCCCTGCTGTGAGGGACCATTCTGCGTTAAGGCTCCCTCCCAAGAACACACACAGACGTGGGTCTGTCTGCCCCCCACCCATGCAGCCACTGAACTCGATGACGAAGTTTCCCGAGCCAGAAGGAGCCCTGGCATTCTAACGAGCTCAAGACCGCGCTCCTCAGGAATCCCTCTTCAGAATCCGGGCATCCCAGGATCCCAGGGACAGACAGCACCAGGGCGGGGGCGGGGGCGGGGGCGCCGGGCCGGGCAGCCTGCCCGTCTGTCTCTCCAGGGCTCGGGGACCAGAGCGCCTCAGAAGGAGTGCGACTACGTGGAAAACGGCATTTCACCCCAGACGCTGTGCGGTGTCTCCGTCCGCCAAAATGGGCACAACCGGGTATCTGCATGCCGAAAACCAACTCGCTCCTTTCCTCGGAGCCCCTAGTGGGTTACCTGTCAGACTGCTCGGTCAGCAGTTCGCACTCAAGGAAGGAGGCTGACGTCTGCTCTGGTAAGACTGGCGGCCCCAGAGCCGTAGGGAGCGTGCCACTCGGGCTCCAGGGCCGCTGAGAGTGGGGATCGCGAGGGGTTGGGGCTTTCAGCGCGCTCACTCAGTTGTTTTGCCTTCGAAACAAAAGCAGCAACAGGGCACTGCACTGGCAGCCTGGGCACAGATATTTATAGTGACACCTCTCTCGGATAATTACCACCTAGCAGAGAGCTCATTTGAGGGGTGCAAGTGATTATTAGTCTTTTGTTCTAAAGTTAACAACTGGGCCATGAATCAGGCGGAGCTGCAAATGCAGGAAAGCAGCTGGGCACATTGAGAGAAGAGATCAGTATTTCCCAAGAGGAAAGGAATTCTGAAGGCCAAATGTTCCCAGGCAGGTAACCAACCGGCCAAACCAAGGCTGCTGTATCAGGCCATACCTGGCTCTCCCACTCAGCTCTGTAGCAGCTAAGGAGAGGGCACTTTCTACCAAACATAAAAAACACGAAGATTCCTGCTGGCCATTTACTTTTGGGTGTCCTTAAATGCCTTTACATGTCCTCGGGCTGTACCCCCCAAAGTGATTTCATTTTAATCAAACTAATCCATGTACACAATTTGAAGGTGGAATACTGAAAAAACCGTTTTCCAGCCTAACACCTTCATTTCTGAACCAGCATTTAATTCTACTGCTGTTAAAATTTATTCCAGCTATTATCTATTACCAAGCCATATTATCTACGGTTTTACAGCGAGTTAAGGCACTGGGCTGCTGACTGAAAAGGGGCAGCAGTTCCAACCCACCAGCCTCTTCTTTCAGGAGAAAGCAAAGGCTGTCTGCTCCAGCAGGGACTCAGCCTCTGAAGCCCTCAGGGCCAGCTCTCCTCTGACTGGGAGGGTGGCTGGGAGTTGGACCCACCCCCAGGGAAATGGGTTTGGTTTTAAGATCTATTACCTGGCAGACTGGAGGTAGCCGTTTGACTCCTGCCGGTTTCCCCCTTGCCCTAGCCCAGTGAGACCACATCTTCGGGTTTCTTCAGTAGTATTATATTGTGATGCCTTGGCCACTGATCGCTGAAATAATGAACGACACCCAACCTTCCTATTTTTTGTACAATCCTTCAAGCTTTCTCAAAATGAACAATCGATGGATGGCAAGTTTTAAGTTGCCCAGTTTCCAAAGTATAGCTATTTTTATATTTCTATAAATACGAAAGTTCCAACATCTCCGATACAGGCCTATCAGTATGTGCCCGTTCTTTTTAGCAGGACCTTCGGGTCTGACCAGCAGTGAGGAACCAAGGGACGGTTGCGCAAACATGAAAACATGGGCTTCTATTCTTGAAAAATGGCGATCGGACAGAAACTCAAGACTCAGTAGCAGGACGCCAACTCTGCCATCTAAGGTGGAAGACAGCCGCAGTGTAACAGAGCAGCCACAACCCAAGAAACACAACATTGTTTCAACGATTACTTAGTAACACAAGCTCTGCTGCTGCTGCCCCACTCAGCCACCACCGCAGGTCTGAGAGAAAGCCAGGCAGAGGGGCACTCGCGAAAACCATCTTTCGAGCAACTGCTGCTGTGCGAGACCGTCTTGAGAAAGAGGAGACCAAGCACAATCAACACTTGCATGACTATGCCAAATGAAAGCTACCCCACCACTCTCTACTCATGCAGCATATACTGGAGCGGGTAGCTTGAGGATACCAGGCAGGGTGCTTGGTATTGGGCTATAATACCTTCAGCGCCCACATTCCAGCAGGACTGATTAGCTTCACCTTTGGGAGAGTCAACTGACAATTTTTAAAAGCAAACCCTGATCAATTTTATTTCCAGGAATTATTTCACAGTACCAGTGACACAAACCACAATGGGCATGTTGAATCAAATGAAGGGCTGATTTAATGTCACTTTACTATGCCTGGGTGAAATGGCAAATGTTTTGTTACCTACATATTCACGGTAAAAAAAAAAATGCTCCCAATACATAAAATACATACCTGATCAGTACCCACAACTATTCCTCTAGAATATCTTTCTCAATATAACTACTAAAGTATATTATCAACTTAAAAAAAAACTTGCAGAAAAATATCATTTATCCCATTTCTGTAAGGCAAGGGAATGTGAGAGCACTTCAAAGTCTTCTGGAGAAATTCCGTAATTGTTTCATTCCATTGCCATACATTTTCCAATGCCCCTCATACCTGTCTCAGTGTGTGCTCCCCATCCCCAAGGTCAACAATGGCTATCTCCAGGAGTCAGACCCTGTATAGTGTACACCACACACCTCACTTCTTGCCAGCAAGTATGCACTACTCTCTAGTTAAATTAAACAAAGGCCCAAAGGCAGTTTTACTACTACTGATTAACTAGCTGGGTGAGTGACATTGAAGAAATAGCTTAGATTCTCTACTCAGTATCGTCAGTCAGAAAAGGGCTAA